TCTGACTTATGCCTGGGAGCCATAACAAAGGGCAAAGAGTTCCCAAAAAAAACCCCAACGTAAACAAAATAAACGTGGTGAATGTAGCACAATCCAAAATATGGCGTACAACTGACAAACGTAAACACGGCCGTCTTTTGTGTATAGCGTCGCATGTGTCCTCTCAGCTCGCCAACTACTTCACGTGCTCGTGGAATGCTACGCTAACGGCATGCTACGAGCTAGCCGTAAAGCAATTAGTCTTATAACTTAAGTTTGGAATCCATACTAAGCTCATTCGCTAAGACCTACTGCCAAAACTTTTATTTGTCAGGAAGTCGTGTGAACATGTTATACTTTGTATATGCTGTTAATGGACGTGGATTAAAATTGGCAAAAAATATCGAAATAACTGAATCAAGAAGCCTCATAGTCCACTATTATAAGTGATCATGACTGAGAACCCACGCAGACTGGGTAAAAAAAAAATGTTTTAACTAAATGTGTTACAGAAATAAACTGTATATGGTCTTTCGAGATAGAGAACTGTCTGAATTATTACCGGGGATGAACGTTGTCACAAATACATCTAAGCCGGTGTTTAATTACAGCAGAGCAGAGCAAATTAAGTTCCGCTGTCAGGTAGATGTGCGCCTGAGCTGCTGCAATGTCAGGGCCAAACTTTAATTACACCTTATTTTAATTCAAAACCACTTATGTAAAACTTTACAACTACAATCGTTCCAAAAGAGAGAAAAATCAAATTAAGTTCATTAAGGTTTTCAAAAAAACTGTCCTAGTTGGGATTTAAAGCCAGTAAAAACGGGGGGCTGTGCCTCAACCATAACCAAAATCTTAAACCAAGGTCTAATCCTATTTCATATTTGCCTATTTTAACCTGACCTATTTCCAAAATCTTGCCTAAGGGGTAACAGTAAAATAAAGGTGAACACGGGTAATAAATGTCTAATCTTTCAGCCTGGGTCGACACACCCGTCTCACTGTGAGCGTGACATACGCAGTAACACCGAGCTGGCCGTTGGAGCAGCACTAGTGACTGGGTAATGACTGTGTGCTACATGTGCTGCATGAATACCTAATTGTATGGGAATGGAAATGGGTGAACAGGGGTGTCAAACATACAACCCGTGGGCCAAATCTGGTCCGCTGGGGGGTTCAATACGGCCCGCTTGAGGAACACAACCCGTGGGCCAAATCTGGTCCGCTCAGGGGTTCAATACGGCCTGCTTGAGGAATGTTGAAAGCTGAAACACTGCATGTCAGTAATGTTTTGTCAAGTATTTCAATATATATATTTTTAATATATTTATTTGCAAGAAAACAAATGGGGAAAACATGGACTTATTGTTATCTATAGGCGCTTATGTTATGATTGTACTGGTCCGGCCCACTTGAGATCTAATCAGGCTGTATGTGGGCCCTGAACCAATCCTGCTGCTCATCTCCAAAGCTGAGAACCCAGAAAATTGCTGGACTACCTGGCAGGGAGCCACCACTTTTGCCACCAGGCTTTTGAGATGTGCACAACAGCCGCTGCTTGTCTTCCCACTTCTGTAGAGATGTGTGTTATGATGGAGTGGCGAGGCTCACAATTCAATCCAAACTGCTCCTCTGAGTGGCTGGTTTGTTGGCAAGGAGAGAGGAGAGAGGGAGGGGAGAGGGGGGGGGGGGGGAGGGGGGGGGTGGATGATTTTCCACTGTGAGGTGCACAGAGATTGACTGGAGGAACCTAAAATAACAGGCCAAAAACTACGGATGCATGTATGCTAGATGTACCGTCGCAGCGGCCTGCCCAGACGAGAAACAAAAACCCTGCACGCACCCGAACCCCAACACCACACGGAGGGAGTCGCACACTGCGGTCATTATATCACTCGTTTTTTTTGGCGAAAGCAGCAGAAGACGTACGTAAGCTGCTGTTGTGCACATGTGTCCACCATAGCGGGGAAGTGTGCTGCTCCCAGGCACGGTACACTTGTACTCACACTAGTCACAGTCCCCAATCCAGACTACAGGGGGCAGTGTAAACAACATGAATCTGATCAGTCATAATAAACTCATTTTGGTTAAGGGGCCGCATTCAACCTGATGATTTTGGTTCAGGGGCCGCATTCAACCTGATGAGGTGTCAAGTGGGCCGGACCAGTACAATCATAACATAAATTCTGAATTACAATAATCCATGCAAAGAAGTACAAGTATTTACTCATATTTATTGAAATAATTTAAAAAATAATATCTTGAACATGAAGTGTTTGTGTATTTTACTTTCAAAATTCATCAAGAGGGCCGAGTTGAAAACGCAAGCAGGCCGGTTTTGGTCTGCGGGCCGCATGTTTGACACCCCCGTATAGATTGTCCACTTTCATACCTGGGCTTAAATCAGATATGTATGTGGTGTTTTTCAAAGCGACCTCAGTCTGAATGATGCTGTAGCATTTCATCCCATTTTTACACCATTGAAGTGAGACAATCCTGAGAAGGGAGGGGGGAGTGGAGTGGTGGTGTGTGTGTGTGTGGGGGGGGGCAGCACATAGAATGTAAATAATGGACGACACAAGCAGCAGCTAGTCAGTCAGTGAAGAGAGCACAACAACTGGGCTTAAATCAGATATGTATGTGGTGTTTTTCAAAGCGACCTCAGTCTGAATGATGCTGTAGCATTTCATCCCATTTTTACACCATTGAAGTGAGACAATCCTGAGAAGGGAGAGGGGAGTGGAGTGGTGGTGGTGGGGGGGGAGGGGTCAGCACATAGAATGTAAATAATGGACGACACAAGCAGCAGCCAGTCAGTGAAGAGAGCACAACGTTGTCAAAACGTCCCGAGGCGTGAAGTGGTGACAGGAAAGCTCGCATCACTGGGCTTCAACCTTCAACCCCCCCGAGGTCTGGAGAAAGCTAAGGGGCTAATCCGCCAAAGCCACAGCCACTGGGAGACGGAAGGCTCTCCATCCGATTGACTGGCAGTGTTTACACAACAACTCCCCAACTAATACAGAGCCATCACTTTAGGGCCACAGACTGCTGAAACTAGGAGGACACTAGGAGATGCATAGTGACCTGCAGTCTGGATGTAGTCACTGAGCAGGGACGTAAGGGCAGGTCAGTGGATTTGAACCTCAAGCTTCCCTGAGTCGCAAAAGGTCTTCCTTATAATCATTATCTGGTAAATCAATTTTTACTCACTTACTGCTAATAAACCTAAAAAATAAAGACTTACTTGTGAATTTTGGGATCTTTAAAAAATAAAGACTTACTTGTGAATTTGGGGATTTTGGGACAGAGAAAATAAATATCTACCTATGTATGATTGAACAACCTTGTCCCATGAGGCACCGTGAAAAGTGCTTTTTGACCCTGGCTTGTGACCCCATTAATGGTCTCTCAGTGGGCTTGATGGCATCAAACAGACCGCAATAGGAGTTTTCTCTTGCAGAAGAATCAAGTGACTCCGTAAAAGCAGTGGGAATTTGAACAAACCACAGACTCCTTGCTATCGCTCCAGGACTCACATTTCTCTTCCTCCTACCTTGACTTTTACTTTTTTTTTTTTTTTTTTTTACTAAGCTATTAGGTGTCATGGGAATTTTAAGACTTAAGGTGGGTTTTTTTTTTATTGAATGAAAACATAGGGTGAGTGTGCTGCCTTTTTAAATTACAATTAATTCCAATAATCCATGTACATGTAGATTAGATATTTATTATTATTATTATTTACTCATATTTAATGAAATCATAATTACTTTACAAAAAATAGTCTAAAAAATTCATCAAGCGGGCCTGTTTTGGTCCACGGGCCGTATGTTTGACAAACTTCTTTTGCATGTATAATGTAGTATATACGTGTATAGTTAAAAATGTTAAAGAAAAAAAAGTTAAAAAATCATATTAAATGAATCTGAATGTAATTTTCCCCTGGTTTTATTTCAAAGAAATTAAATCGATTAAAGGAATGTTTACATTTTTTCGGACTGGCAACATGAGTGAATAAATACTTACATGGTCTGTTTCCCTGTTCAGGACACGTAAAAAGGTATCAGCGCCGCTCGTCACATTCATACTAAGATGCAGGACGTGTAGTCAGGAGGAAAAGGGCACGGACATGAACCTGAATGTGAAGGGGCTTTTTAGTCAAATACGCGTGATTACGGCCGATGTAGGAAAAAACCTCCCTCTTGAATAAGGCACTGCTTATTTCTTATTTTTACTGCAAAGCGCAGGATCGGAACAGAACGTACGGTTTCCCCTTTAAACGAAAATCGATGGCCGCTGTTTAATAAATGGTTAGGCATATTCAAGGTGAAAAAAAAAAACAAAACAAAAACTCACAACAAATATATATTTTACCCTACATAAGGCATATTCAAGGTGAAAAAAAAAAAACAACAAAAACTCACAAATATATATTTTACCCTACACTGTAGGACCTATAGTGCTTCCATAAAGTTATTAAGGAAGTCTTATTCCAGCATTCCAACGTACCACCTTAAAAAAACATTTCGCTCTGAAACTATTTGTTTGTGTTGTTTTTTTTGGAGGGGGGGGTGAAACTATTTGTTTGTGTTGTTTTTTTGGGGGGAGGACGGGACTTTCTGTCCTTCATTATGGCTCTCAGGTGTAAGTTAAACTCTTCTGATGTTTTTATGTCTTAGATTATGACGTTAGCGATGTGTTAGCGCAGGTGAGCAAATTTAGGTATTTATGTAGGCTCCGACTTTTAAATTTGTTGTTTCGGGAAGAACAAAAAAATAAAACAGTTTCAAAAATATTTGTTTTCATTTTGCGACTGTCTTATTTACCTTTTTCAGGTCTCCAAATGAATCAATAAATATACTTGACAAAACTGTTGATATCTCATGTCACTCTTATCTCATAATCAACCAATTCAATACAAAGCTGTTTGTTTCCATTTGATCGTGAACTCAATGATCTATTTTAACAAAATTACAGGCTTCTGCAGATAATTACAGACCAGGGAAAAAGAAAACAGGACGTACTTGGATCCGACGAGATTGCATCCGACTTTGGCACAAACTGGTCACAGCGAAGCCCGTGGTAGCCTTCCTTACACCTGCAAGACAGACAGGGAAAGCAGAAAACAGAGATTACATGTGAGATTACTTTACTAAAACACAAAGATACCATAAGGAAAGACACAAGAGGAAGAACAATATCGATTAGTGAGCGTCGAAAAGAGTTGACTGCTGACTGAGGACTGTGGAGCCGGAGGAAGATACACATAAACAGTTGAGAGAGGGGTTAGGTGAGAAAGACAAGGTAGAAAGAAGAGCTAAGATAGTTGGTCAGGCCTGTGCAGTGCCTGCAGTCTCACTGATAGCACATGACTGACAGGAACGCCAGTTCCCAGTGGAGGGAATGCTGGTACTGGTAGACAGAGTACTTGGCATTAAACAGGCGATGCAAGATCTACAGTGGAAGGAAAGCTGCCACAGTTGGAACCTCCATATAAACAAAGTCCTGGCAGAGCTCAGATATTTGCCTTCATCGACAAACACACAGCCCCGCATTGTCGATGCACACGAATCCCACAGCGGCCGTCATCAATATACCCACCGTAAAATATGACACTCGTATTCGGGTACGTGGCAATATTTTAGAAAAAGAGGACACAAACATTTTTTAAACCCAAGGATTTGAAATGATAATGCAGCCAGGGTGGAGTGGGCTGTTTACATTGCCGCAAAATGAAACAAGGTGGCTTCCCAAGATTAGAGGAGACAAATATATCCCAGCTAAAGACACTCTCCTGATGTCTTGAGGGGAGTGTTGTAAAAATTATTTTCTGCGTTTTGCCAAACTGTGCCTGGGTTGGAAATTATTATCTAAACAAGGTTTAATTTTTTATCTTATTTTTTTTGTCTTTTGTGATCTAAACAAGGTTTAATTTTTTATCTTTTTGTCTTTTGTAACCTGTAAATGCTTGTTACTTTTGAGAATATACTTAGTCACTTATAACTGTCCTATACGTCTATACATATGTACATATATATACAGTACATATATACATATATGTACATATATGTGTATATATGAACAATTATGTACATATATACAGATGTTCACTTATGTACATATGTGTATATGTACAGTTATGTACATGTAAACACATGTTAACACATGTACAGTTATGTACATATAAACACATGTACACATATGTACATATATACATATATGTACATATATGTGTAAATATGTACATTTATGTACATATAAACACATGCTCACGTATATGTACATATATACACATATGTACATATATGGATATGTGTAGATTTGTGTACATATAAACATATGTTTACATATATGCATATATGTACGTGTATACATGTACATTTATATACATATTAACATATGTTTACATATACTGTATGTACATACTGTATATAAACAAATATGTTTACAGATATGCACATATATAAACATATATGTTTACAGATATGTATATAGATGCAAACACATGTTTTCAATACTCATTCAAAATAATGCCACGATAAATGCAGGCTTATTTATGGCATTCATTTGGCCAGGTTGCCAAGCTGTTTGCGAGGACCTTCAAATAGTGACGGCTAGCCGGGAACAGATCTGAATCAAAGGTTCCATATATTTTACATTCATATATGACAAACACAGTGGGAGTCTGTCTGACAGCAGGGTGAAGTTCAGAATATCCAGAGGGTCTGGCAGGACTCTCAGCCTTCTATCATGATGTGAATTATTCACACCTTTTACTGCTGTGTCTTCGCATAAGCTGACTCATGAGCTGAAGTTCCAGAAAAAGCCCTGGAACAACTTTGGCAGATTTCATGTTCTCACATGTCACACCACCTGACGTTTTCAGTCCAGAGTCCACACATCACACCGTGAAAAAAGAAACACATTCATAGCTTTCAGTCAGTATTTTCAGGTATAAACACATTCATATATTACATTACATAAACGCTGTACAAATGGTGGCTCGTGGGCCCCAGGCGGTGCACACGCAACCTCAGAGTGGCCTAGTCTATTACTTTTAAACACAAAACAAAAAAGAAAGAATCCCAATGGGTGAATTGGGAGTTAAAAATCTGGCCATATGTAATACATTTATAATGAAATAGCACTGTCCTACAGTACATGATGAAGAGCAGAAAAGGAAAACAAAAAAAAAACAACTCTCAAAACAAATACGTTTTACATCTATGACAATGTAAATTGTATTGTTTTACATAAATTAAGGTTAACATAGTTGGGAATTTTTGAGTGATGCATTTATTTATTTTTTTGCTCAGGTTGGCTTAAAGAACAGCACAGAAATACTAGCAGCGTTTAAGCTGGGCTGAATGAAAGTAAACAGCAGTTGAGATCAAGTGCTTTCTGTTATGGTGGAGAGTGGAGGTTGAAAACACAGTAATAAACTGTCATATTTATTTGGCTTTGTCCTAAGCTGCAGTTTGGCTCCCTAAGTCTGTGTGTTTGCTAAATTTGTGCAATTTAGTTTATAGCTTTTCTCCCTGTGGAACAGTATGGAACTGCACAGTTGATCAAAATGAATGACATAAAAGCTCACAGCGCTGCTGTTGTCACCGTGGCTGATAAAAAAGACAAAAGGTTTGGCCCCAGTCTTTTCCACACTGGAGTTGCTCAGGGGTGAAAATATGACAATTAGACAGCGACTAAAATTATTAAGATGTCTAAAATCTACGCTGAATTTAATAGGTTGGCATTATATAATCATATTTTTGAAAAAATAGAGAACTTATCCTTCAGATAACCACCTATCCTTTTCCACATCCATGCTGCACTTAAACACAGCAATCGACACAGTGGGTAACAAAACTGTCTATGGTTGGAGAGAGTCTCCAGCACAGAGCTACCCTGTGGGTTTCCTGTTGTCTGTTGTCAAGGTCAACTATTCTGCAGCTGACGTTCCTGTGTATGTCTAGACCAGCGGTTTGGAAAGAGGGGACCACCAGGGGGAACGTAGAGATCCAGGAAATTGGAGGAAAGACAGAGAGAAAAAAATAGCAAAATATACGGCAGTGCCGTAATTATCCAACTCTCAAGCGTCCGATGGTGCCTGAATGCATCTTGTGTAACAGCCGCAACTAATCTGTGTAGACGTGGCGGTTTGTGTCTGTTGTCAAGCTGCTCTGATCCTCAAGCTAGCTAGTAGCTAGCGTGTAGCTAGCTGTCACTCACAACAACATGTTCATTAACATGTTTCACATGCTAAACAAAATATAAATAATTATTGTATAGTGAATAAAAGTCAGAAATTACATTTTAAAATTTGATATTTCTTCACATATTTTGTAGCATCATCTGTGGGTTTGCAATTTGGGGCGGTCTCCAGTCTGAGGCTAATCCTGGTTCGCGGGGTCCTTGGCACTGAAAAGTTTGGGAATGCCTGACGTAAATGATGTTGTAAAACCTCTAAATATGGACTCACAATTGCATTTCAATTATGACTTAACTTAAAAATGATCACAATAACAACCCAGGCGTGAACTTTTTCCGCAGGTTTTGTTGAATGTTAAATCTAAATATATGGACTCCAACATGAAGTCTTGTATTGTTTTCCTTTACTCTCACTTGGACTTTTGAGAGACACTGGTGGCACCACATGAAACTAAACAATAGCATAACTATATATATATATATATATTTATTCAACTTTGCAGTATCTAAATTTAACTAACTACTTTGATGCTTTTTGTACCCCCCTGCCTCTGCTTTCTTGCTTTATGCACTGCCACACTAAATTAACAAAGCTTCAGGCTGCAGGCTAGTGGCATGGGGCCTCATTACTGGAGTTTCCAAACATTTTGTCATTGTAGTGTCTCTTACACACTGTAGTTATTTACACAGTTTCATGGTGTTGATGCCGGTGACAAATACATTCATCACTTCCCCAGAGCCTGTCAGCGTGGTGCCCCGGGAAGTTGCCTACTCTGCCTATCCTCCTATCCTCCTATCCAACGCCTCTGCCTTTTACAAAGACACTGAGTTTGTCTGTTAAAGGCCATAAAACTAAAATAAACACATTTACATATACTTTATGCACCGCAACATAATTGTTTGTCCTCTGTTAACCCTAAACTTGTTCGTTAAAGGGTTATGTTTTAGAAGGAAGTGAAGGCAGATACTGAATATTCAGCGCCACCTTGAGGTTTCGCCACATAAGTAAGAAGAAAAAACCAATTACCAACAACATATAAAGTTCATTATTTTTTTTGCCATCATATCCTGGCATAATATGTACTGTATCCTCAATTACAATTACAAAATTTCATTGTCGTCGGAATTTCGTCCCTACCGCGCCGGAGTCGGAACTCATGTTTTTATGTCAACCACTGTCAGCCAATGTCACTTAATTGGTTCCCCAAATTTTGTTTTGTTTATTTATTGCAAATATTTTTTCTTTGTTTGCAATGCGTGACAGGCACAGCAATTAAATCCTCTTCCGCTAGGTGGCAGCAGATGGTTATTAAAACAAACAAACAAAAAAAATGATAATCAGAGCTGTTGAAGAAGATCTTTGTGAGTGTCTTTCTTCAATTCCTGCCAGTACATCAGCGTTGTTTTCAACTAAACAGGAGTCCATTTTTTTTTTTAGTAAATTTAAACTAGAATATTATTATATTTCATTACATATACATTTGTGAGGTTTTTGTTTGGTGGTGTGCTGTGGTGGTCGAGGATCTCTTGTATTTCCGAAAAAACAAAAAACTAAACTTGGACGTCCAATTAAGCCACAAAAGTCAGAAAACAAAACCAATCCGTCTCCTTTTCTCAGGCTCCCTTGAATACGTGTCTCTCTGAGTCTAGACAGCGTTCCCCCGGAGCATCAACCAGAGACCATCACTGTTTACATCAGAGTCATTATGCATTTTGTGGAGACAAAACATTAACTGTTTAACTGAGTTGGATGTAGACGGTGTGATGAATCCCTAACATTAACCACAGTCCATTAAATCAGAGCCATCATTTACACTGAAATGGAATATGCAAAACAACCCGCGCAGATGCACAGATTAATGCATAGATATGAGATTAGTAGACACATTCAAA